CTTTCCCTAAGATCTTTTTCGCTCAACGTTATTATAAATGATCCATTTTTCATCTCGCGTCACTACTTGCTTCAAAAATGGTGTCTCCTCGTTGCGTTTATAGAGCAAGTCGCAAATGGAAATGCGATCCATCGGATTTTTCTCCGTTGAATCGTGGGGAACTCATAGATCAAAACGGTTTATGTAGCCAAGCTTCGCAAAATGCTCGTGGATGGTGGATTTTCACATATTTAACGTTTCCGCTAATTTACGTGTCGTATAACGTGGGTTATTCTCGATCAGCGTTTTAATCTGATCTTCATCCGTAGTGGAGGGCCTACCCGGGTGTTCTTGATCTTTAAGGTTGAAATCGCTAGCTTTAAACCTAGCACACCACTTCTGCACGGTTCTTTCAGCTACAGTACCTTCGTCATAAACAGCGCGTATTTTGTTTGCCGCTTGTGCGGCATTTTTGCCTTTGAAAGTACTAAATGCCTAAAATGCACTTGGTTTCCTTCCATATTCAAAGGCGTATAAAACTGACAAAAATTAACATATCGAATCCAAATTTTGTTCCTAATATGCTCGAAGTACCGTCTTTTGCGATACGCACGCGTGTCATTTGTTTTCAATCGTTCTGATATATTCAGACCTGACCTTACGCCACCTACCGATAATCGGTAGGAACTTTCCGGAACACGCATAGATGGGAATCGATTGGAGGAACGGTTGGAACAGGAAACAAAGGCGGTGGACTTAGATTGGCCAGACTGACCGAGTCGGCACGAGCCATTAGTCAATTCGAGCACGGCGTGTGCTATATCTGACGGTGTTCATCCCCCTAATAGGCAGATTATGCCGACTAATTGCCGCGTAATCTCTCGACGCCGATTCGACGGAATTAGCCGATTGTGAGGTAATCGTGAGTCGGCTATACTGCTCGAGGACACTTTAAAAACTCGCTTTCGATGGATAATCGAGCAGAACATTGCTCGAAGGTCTCGCGGAATTAGGTTAGATTTCTTTCCGACGCTTTTTTCAGGTTAGGGTGTGAGAGGAAATGTATGGTAATCTAGGAGGCGCGACCAATGTCTATAATTACTTTCCTAGCATCTCGACAGACTTTGCAGCTCCCTGTTATAACCATCGTTGTTATTAAGTAATCCTGCTGCTTTGAGGAACTTTGCTCCGCCGCGACAATGGCGGGCTTATAATCGAGCTTCTCCGGTTTCTTTGTCGGCGAAATTTGCGTTGCAGATGTGTCTCCTTCGTCTATTTACGGGAAGCTATCTCGATGGAAGTTTGGAACCGAAAAGTCCCGAGAAGAGCGAAAATTTCGAAGGCGATAAACCAGGCAGGGAAAAATTTCGCGATATCGTAGATCTACATACGTAAGTCTCGTCATTATCGAGAAATCTCGATGATTCGCGCGATTTACAACAGCGAGACACGAGTGGCTCGATAAGACTGCTAGTCGAAGATAAGACTACTCGAAATCGAATCGACTTTAAAGTTCGCGTCGTTTCTTGTCCATCGCGTACACTTTTCCAGCAATTCCGCGGACATTTTGACCGTGCTCCGCCATTGCAATTAGCACGCGCGAAGGGTACAGAGAGGTTAGGTAAGGAAGTTGACCACCTACGGCGGGGACGGGAGAAAACGTGCAAGTGGCGCTAGTGGGCGAGCGAAACAATGCGACTGGCATAAATAACATGTAATTACGATGCATCCAGTGGATCGCAATTACCCGTTCGCCGACGTAAAAGTGAGCAACGATACGCTTCGTTGCACTCGCCGGTTTTAAAGTCCAATTATCTCTTTCGAAATATTACACTTGCTTTCTTGCAAAAAACACACGGTCTTCCCGCATTTTTCTCTAATGCCTTTCAAAATTGCCTCGCTGTCCTATTAATTCGCCATCTTATCTTAATTCCCGATCGAGTTTCGTTAATTTTCCAACGCGTTTAAAATAATTTTCTACTAAGTATCGTTATCTATGTCGGTGCATGTTTTAGATTAGGCTGACACTTTGGAAAAAGAGATAAAGCGACTCGATTGTGGGGAACAGGCTGCGTGCTATTTTCAAATCGTTCTACATTAACATTCTTATGCAACTGTATTTATCGGACGACTATGTCATCTTCAGTACCGAGTACAATTATCGTAATCCATTTTATACATTCGTTAATTAAAATCTACTCCGTACGCGACTAGTGTTGGAAAATTCGAAATTGCTCGGATTACATTTGGGATCGGTGTAAAAACGTTGATCGAACGTTGAAATTTGAGGATTTCGCGGATTTGTAGATATTCAAAATTGACGCACGAATAAAACGTGGATAAAGTTGGGGAAATTCGAGCAAGGTGAATCGGTATCGATCCGGTTGCCGATAACAGCGAAATTGTTTCCCTTTGGCGTTCCTCGGGATTTTCAGTAATTGCAGGTAACGAGATCGCGGATCCATGGGTTCGGGTATGGATCCAATTTCCACGGGTATGGATATTTTCATCGGGACGGATCGATAGCGATGCTGAAGAGCTACATCAATCACCGTGCACTCTTCCGAGCGTGCACTCTGATTACTTTCCGGGTATTCGCGGCTGGAAGAGGAAATTCGTAGCCCTGCGAACGAACCGCGTGTTTCGGTGGGGAAAAAGCACGCCCTGTTTTTCCGAAAGATCGTTCGATGCTGTAATATTGACTGGAAACGGGTTTTCGAACGCAGCGATGATTAACTGTAACGTTCGCGCTTGTCTCGTAACTTTGTATTTTGAAACTTCCTGTATAGTGTTAACACGGAGTTGAAACGTCATACATAACGAAGGTTACTTCTCGAAGCAGTCTCATTTCAAGTTTAAGAATGATTTATTTATGTTGTCAGACTATTCCGTGGAAGAAAAAGTAGTATTTTGAAACCTCCTGTAACGAAACGTATCGATAATTAGGTAGCAACCTTCGTGATGCGAATTAGTAACATTTTCGTAGAGATTAGGTTAATTTTAAAATATCTAGCGGAGTTTATAAATCTTATTTTGAAACTTCCTGTATAGAGTTAAAATGGAATTGAAACATCCTATATAACGAAGGGTTTCTTTCGATATAGTCTTATTGCAAGTTTAAGAATGATTTATTTATGTTGTCAGTCTATTCTATTGAAGGCAAACTAGTGTTTTGAAACATCCTGTAACGAAAAGTATCGATAATTAGGTAGTAATCTTCGTGATGCAAATTGGTAATATTTTCGTAGGGGTCAGGGTAATTTTAAAATACATAGCAAAATTTACAAATATTATTTTGAAACTTCCTGTATAGAGTTAAAATGGAATTGAAACATTCTATATAACGAAGGTATTTTTGCGAAATAGTCTTATTCCAAGTTTAAGAATGATTTATTTATGTTGTCAGTCTATTCCGTTGAGGAGAAACTAGTATTTTGAAACTTCCTGTAACAAGAAGTATCGATAAGTACATAGTAACCTTCGTAATGCGAATGAATAATATTTTCGTATCGGTTAGATTCATTTTAGAATAGTTTCCAGAGTTTTCGAATATAATTATGGAGCTTCCTGTATATAGTTAAAATGGAATTGAAACATCCTACATAACGAAGGTTTCTTTTTCAAATAGTCTCACTGTAATTTTAAATAAGATTTACTTATGTCGTCAATCTATTCTACGGCGGGAAAACTAGTATTAATTTTGAAACTTCCAGTATGGAAATAATGACAGCTATTGATAAGTCGGTAGTTAACCTTCATGATGCGAATACGATGACATTTTGTTAGGGATTAGGGTCATTTGAAAATACTTCCCAGAATTTCCATACTTTATTTTGAAACTTCCTGTATAGAGTTAAAACAAAGTTGAAACGTCCTATATAACGAAGGTTTCTTTTTGAAATAGTCTCATTGAAAGTTTAAGAACGATTTATTTATGTTGTTAGCCTATCCCATGCTGGGAAAATTAGTATTGCATATGTTGAAACGTCCTATATTGGAATAAGATTTTTAAAATAAAGTCTTTTTTAGACTATTTTCATTATGACTTTAAGGAAGAATTATTTACGATATTAATTTGTTTTCAAATAATTGACACGTCAAAAAATTGACATTAGTTATCTTGAAACGACCTGTATAGTAGCGAAATAATTCGCTTTTTATGAAAATAATTCATGTTGACAGTTCCTTCTATTAATTAATTTCCATTGATTAATTAGTGAAACATATTTTGAAAGCACCTGTAGGCAAATGACCGAAACTCTCGATGCACAGCTTCCTAACCTCAAAACCAAAACTCTGCACAGGTCTATCGAATTACTTCGTTCCGAGTTCGATCAGCAGCACGAGTTTTGAAATATCCTGTAATCGAATCAATCAGTCAATTAATCAATTCCCTAACCTCCAATACGACACGTCCTCGAACACCTCGTCGAAGGAAATTCATACCGCGTCGTCGCACTTCCGTGTTCCCTGTTCAATTAGAAACAATAATTATGAAATCCCCTGTACGAAAATTAACGGAAGTAGTCGGTATCGTGGCTTCCAGGAGATTATGAAACCATCTTAGCAGAAGGAACACCGTTCGTATGCGCTGTTGCATGATTAGCTCCGCGGCTTCGGGTTCCCTGCATCTGACGTTATCTTAGTGACGTAGTGATTTACAACCGATCCTCCGATCTATCATTACCCAAGTACAATTTCCGAGTGACATCGACGTCATTGAAATTTTGCATTCTCCAGGCGCGGCAGCAGTAAAACGAATTTATTACCGATTGCTAGGGAATTTCAAGGGGAATCGTGGCAGGCCGCCATCTTGTTTTCCACGCGGATCATAAACGTCGCCAGCGTTGCATATCCTTTCGTGACGAAACGATAATTTGTCGAAGATTTTCCCCGTTCCCACTAGACGATTGAATAATTGCCACAGATCTACAGGGTGTCCGAAAGAAAACCGTACTCTCTGTCGATCGTTGCACGATAGTCCAGCTCGGTGTTTAAATTCCCAAAAATACTAATCTGCACGATAGAAGGCGAGGAAACAGAGGCAATATTTGCATTCTGGTGTCAGTGCCGTACGATGTAGGAGTATTTACACTCGGCTATCACTCGGCTGAACAATTTTCATGCTGCGTCGTGCAGAGTGGCTAATCAGCTGTCAACAGAGCTGTATCAACGTGCACGTCGTCCTTCGTGGACGAATCTAGCACGACCAGCTTTTGCTTCAACTACTTATTTCATCGGTGGAAGTGGTTCCGCGTACACGGCTAGCGTGCTGGCTAGGAAGCGTCCACGCAGAATGGTTTCGAATTGCGGTAAGATGTCCACGTAAACGTCAATACCTCTCCGACTGAACTCGATAAACTTGTATCATATTTTCCTTCGCGTTAAGTAATCTTGATAGAAGATTCGACAAATTGAACGATAAAAATTCGAAATTTTTAATACAAAGGCGAATTGACAGTGATGTCATCATCGAGGAGCTTCAACGATGCTTGACACAAGTGACAGACGAATCGAAAATTGTATTTTCAATCTTAAACCAGAGTACAAATTAGATACCGAATATGACATTAAGCGTTGCAAACATTTAAACAATATCACTACGTTTTCTTCGTTTAAAGAGATAAATGTGTTACAAGTTTATCGCTTCTGTTTTTCTTAGATTCGTATGTCAAGCCTTGTTTTTATCCGTGTGTACAAATTCGAAGAAAGAAGACGCGTTTCCGATTGTATTGGAAGTGTACAAGAAAAGCGTGATAAGGTGACACTGTGATAAAGCATTCGGTGAAACTGGAGGAGAAGAGGATTTAAAAGAATTTAATTAAAGAATAGATAGAGAGCGGTATCGTCTGTTCGCATATTTTCCCCGAGTAATATCGAGGCTTTCTTTGTGATCCAAGTTCTCCTTCTGAGGATAGCCCGGCAAGTGGAGGAATTTATAATTCAATAGTTTTCGAGTCCTCAAACGCCCTGCAGTGTGGGTAGACGAGCGAAGAATAGATTTATTAATTTTTCACCCGTATCTTCGGCTGTTCCACTCATTCGGGAGAGGTTCGCCTCGACGGGAATGACTCTGTCCTTCTCGACACCTGTCGAGACTGCAGTCTCGGGAAGACCATTACGAGCGGTCGTTTGGCGTGTCTTCTATACATGATAAACGTCGTCGACGTCACGGTAAATGTCTGCCACGTTGACGAGTGGAACGGAAAGGAACATTTTTATACGATGGAAAGTCGCAAAGGTCGAGATACATCTCTATCTTTGCTGTGCGCCGAGTCACACCTGTAATAATTTATCGAAACGATACGTTCGCGCCTGCATGACGTAACTGAAATCGCCTGTACTTGCTAAATTTGCCAATTTTATCTCGAAACGAGATATATTTAATAATATTTTCGTCACCGAATCGCACAGTATCGTGTTTCAAAGGTGGATCACCGAAGTCAGCTTCGTGACGCGTGAATGAAACTATCTGTAATCACATCTGTAATAATTTATCGAAACGATACGTTCACACCTGAATAACAGTTCTGAAATCGCTTGTACTAACTAAATTTACCAATTTCACCTCGAAAGGAAATATATTTATTAATATTTTCATCACCGAATCGTTCAGTATTGTGTTTCAAAGGTGTAGCACCGGAATTAGCTTCGTGACGCATGAATAAAATTACCTGTAATAATTTATCGAAACGATAGTTCACAACTGGATTAACGCAACTGAAATCGCATGTACTAACTAAATTTACCAATTTCACCTCGAAAGGAAATATATTTATTAATATTTTCATCACCGAATCGTTCAGTATCGTGTTTCAAAGGTGTAGCACCGGAATTAGCTTCGTGACGCATGAATGAAATTACCTGTAATAATTTATCGAAACGATAGTTCACAACTGGATTAACGCAACTGAAATCGCACGTACTAACTAAGTTTATCAATTTCAACTCGAAGGGAAATATATTTATTAATATTTTCGTTACCAAATAGCTCAGTTTCGGGTTTCAAAGCTATACTACCGGAGTCAGCTTCATGACGCGTGAATGAAACTACCTGTAGTCATATCCGTAATAATTTATCGAAACGATAGTTCACGTCCGGATAGTGGTTATAAAATCGTCTGTACTAACCAAATTTACCAATTTTATCTCCAAAGGAAATATATTTATTGATATTTCCGTCATCGAAACGCTCAGTATCGTGTTTCGAAAGTGAGCTTCGTGACGCGAAAATGATAATACCTGTAATAATTTATCGAAACGATGATTCACACCTGGATTAACGCAACTGAAATCTCCTGTACTAACCAAATTTACCAATTTAACCTCCAAAGGATATATATTTATTAATATTTTCGTCAATTTCGTGTTTCAAAAGTGTACCATCAGGGTCAGCTTCGTGATACTCGAATGAAACTTCCTGTAGTTACACCTACGAAGTTTCATTCCGGAACAGGGTATTTCCTCGTAATAAGATCACCCGGATCTCCGTTTCGAATGTTCGATTAGGTTTATGTTATGCGATAAAATAAAACCACCTGTAGCTGCTAGGCTTGCGAGTTTCACTTCGACGTGGAATATTTTCGCGCCGTAACCTGCATCAACAGTTTAGCTGTGGAACAGAGCAGGAACGGATAACTTCGGTTATTTAATAAGACACGAGTCATCTAAAGGGTGTTTCATATTTCAGGCTTCAAGAAGCTGATGCAAGGCGACGGGGCTTTGAAGAACACCGTGCTAACCGTCCTGGCAGAGACCATCGGCACCTCCATGCTGGTGTTCGTTGGTTGCATGGGATGCGTCGGCAGCTTGGGAGTCATCCCTTCTCACTTCCAAATCGCTTTAACCTTTGGTCTCGCTGTGATGATTGTAATTCAGGTTGGTATTCCTCGATTGATGATCTTTTTGGATCCTTTGACAGCCTTTTATTGGCGTTTCGTTGGTTGCATAAGTCGAGACTTTCGACTTCCACAGTTTGGCATCGCTCAATTATCTCGAGCTTGTTAGCTGTCAGCTCTGTTCTTTGGAAAGAAGCATCCTAACGTTTAGCAAACACCACAGCTATGTTTATAAAGAGATACACTGATAGCTGTGTACATTCATGCGAAGCTACTATGTTTGCCGAACGTTGGGGTATCTCTTCGGAGAGAACTTGAGGAATGACCTAAATGTTTATAGTTCTGCTTGAATTCTGCCAAAATTTGACAAAAGTTCTTTCGTTTCAGTGTGTTGGGCATATCAGCGACGCACACGTCAATCCTGCCATCACGGTGGGGTCAGTAGTGCTTGGATTAAAGACCATTCCTGAAGGTTTCGTGTACATATTGGGCCAAATGGTCGGTAGCATCCTGGGATTTGGCATGCTGAAGGTTGGTAAAGCGGTGATTTTAGTTACGATTCGCTTGCCGAGGATAATTCGTGGATTGCTTGAACAGTGATAGGGAGACATCGCGAGAACACTCACGATCGTTGACAAGAAGACCGGTGTTTATAGGATTTCAATAAAAAGATCGAAACGTGATTGCAAATCTACTCTAACGCGCATTCGGTTATCGAGGTTTAAGACCTTTGCCTAATCTTCGCTTCAGGAGAGACGATCGTCGTGTGTAACCGGAGCAGACTTACGCAACCGTGACGACATTGTCGCCCTATCTGTCAACTGCGGTCAAGCACTCTTTGAAAACAAACACCTGACACACGAATGCTTGTCAACAATAGGTAGACAAGTTAGGTCTTTATCAGCTTTTATCTGCAGCACACTTTTACACCATTTGTTGATCGATGGGTTAAATAAAGTACGAGATAAAGGAGAGACGAGGCGAGCACAGGTAGACTGAGAGAGGAAAAAAGGTGTCTAGATTTCAATTAAATCATCAACTAGTTCTAGAGACGAGGCGAGCACAGGTAGACTGAGAGAGGAAAAAAGGTGTCTAGATTTCAATTAAATCAACTAGTTTGCTGCTCGAAGCAATACTCGTTCTCGAAGCAATAAAACTGAGTAATCCGATCACCCTGATCCTCAATTAGCTCACGAAGTTAAACAGCTCACAGGGTTTTTACATTATAGCAACGAGATTGGATAGTTCGTGGCATTAATCTTCGATTAAATTTCAGGTGTACCGTTGAAACGATAGAACTAGATTTATCGCACCAATTATACGAATTCTCGATTAATTCTCACCCAGGTCACAAGTACATCCATTATACCGATGATAACCGAATCCCGGCATAAATCTTCAACTCAGACCAAACCGTTGCACGAGTCATTAATTAATCTTCGCGTAGAACAGAACTACCATCCAGACCAAACCTTAATCGTCGCGCTAATTCTCGATTAGCCATCGATCATCGTGACCCTCGATCTTAACTAAATCCGAGCCAACGCATCGATCCTAGATTGACCTTCGTCGACAGTATCGAGATGAATCGGATTATCCTCGGCACTGATCCTAACCAAACCTTCGATTAGAGGAGCGAGTGGATGTACGATAGCGAACCAAAAGCGGAACTTGGATTGCAGATGGTGACTCCGTCGGGTCGCCTGACCAGCAAGACCCAGGACGACATAGGCATGTTTTGCGTGACTGATCTACACGCAGACCTATCGGCCATTCAGGGTCTGATGCTCGAGGGCATTTCCACTGCTATACTAATGCTGGTCGCGTGCGCCGTCTGGGACAGTAGAAACGCGAAAAACTCCGACTCGGTGCCAATTAGATTCGGCCTGACAGTCTCTGCCCTTGCTCTCGCGTTCGGCCCTTACACGGGCTGCAGCATGAACCCGGCCAGGTCGTTGGCACCAGCCCTGTGGAACAATCAGTGGACCCATCACTGGATCTATTGGTTCGGCCCTATCGGTGGCGCTCTTCTCACATCCTTCATGTACAAGACCATCTTCGGCGTGAAAGTCGATAGCTCGCAGGAGGAACCTGTCCCAGAAACTATGGCGTTGAATAGCGTGGAAATCCAGAAGGCAGAGGTATGATGACTTTATTTCTATAACAGCTTCCTTTAAAGTCTACGATATAAAAATTGTCAGCTCTTTGTAAATCGAAATACGCTGTTTCTCTTTGCATGACAGCTTCAGAGTCTATGATATAAAAATTGTCAGCCCTCTGTAGATTGACGTATGCTGTTCCTCTTTGTATGACAGCTTCTTTCAGAGTCTAGGTATCAAAAATTATCAGCCCTTTGTAGATCGACATATGCTGTTTCTCTTTGTATGAAAGTTTCCTTCGGAATCTAGGTATCAAAAATTATCAGCCCTTTGTAGATCGACATATGTTATTTGATGACTTTATTTCTATAACAGCTTCCTTTAAAGTCTACGATATAAAAATTGTCAGCTCTTTGTAAATCGAAATACGCTGTTTCTCTTTGCATGACAGCTTCGGAGTCTATGATATAAAAATTGTCAGCTCTTTGTAGATTGACATATGTTGTTTTTCTTCGTATGACAGCTTCCTTCGAAATCTAGGTATTAAAAATTGTCAACCCTTTGTAGTTCGACGTATGTTGTTTTTCTTCGTATGACAGCTTCCTTCAAAGTCCAGGTATCAAAAATCGTCAGTCCTTTGTAGATCGACATGTGCATCTATTCTCTGGTAGTTAATCAACCTTCTACGATCGTTGAATGATGATATCGCGGAATCGATGACGATGAATGGAAGAAATTTGAAAGGGGAACTTTGGAATTTCCCTATGCAGGCGAGGCTTGCCAAGTTTTATCATGTAAACGTCAAGCATGTCGTGCATCAAGATTTTTCGCGAGGCGGATTATCTTGTAAGGGCTGGCCGTTAAGGTCGACGATAAATCGTCGTTGGTCGGGCGAGGAAGTTTGGTGAAACTGGTTTTACGACGCGGCGGGATTTAACGTTCTCGGTTTACCGTCGATGGGAACCCTAACCGTGTATCAGGGGAAAGCCGTTTTCGGGACGACGTACCGTTTAACTTCTTATCCCCTGTACGACGTTGTTGGAAGAATATCCTGAATCAGGTTTAAGTTACTCCGAGAAAAACTATGCTAGTTAAATTTCCTAATGAGACCAATTAGGATATTAGGATAATTAGGGGCAGAAGTAGAGACTGACATTCGTGAGCATTTAGAAAGGTCGTTGGTTCGTTTGAATTACACGTCACACAGATAGATATAAGAAAGTCACTCGAAATGTTATCTCAGGTTCGTATTATCTCGAGTCCAATTGTCAAAAGTTCAAACGTGCCTATCTTAGTAGACTAGCCAAATATTCGGAACTGTCGAAATAAAGCTTTATCTGGCCTGATATTCGTTCAACGTTACTAATCGATAAAGCGCTACGGATAATCGAGGAATCACTTAGGGTTTAGCGACTCGTGTGAGTGTATCGGGAGAAAAAGTCTGATGGACGTTTATTTTTTCCTTTCAGCCATGATACGACAGTAAGAGGGCCAATCGAAAGCGTCCAGGGTACGAGTCGATCGGCACTTTCTTCGAGAAACCACGAGAGATTAAGCGTTTAACGGAGGATCTGGACGGATCGAATGGAGCCTGAAAGGCGATACACGATCACCCGGCCGTGGATCATCGTGTACCGTCACTTTAGATCTTTTATACCTCCGTTTTGTCTCGATCGTATAGCGCTCGAACGATCCGCGGAATCGCAAGACTGCACTTCACAGAAATCATTGCCTCTGAGCGTCGTCCACGCGCGACCACGCCATCTTTGTTTAGAACGCGTATAGGTTATGTGCATTCCAGCCGCGTTAGTCTCGACAATTTCGCGATTCAATGATCTGTATGTACAATACAATGCTCGTTACATTGGATTCGCTGTTGGGAACACACATTTCATTGTTGTTCACCTTCTTTCTTTCTTTCGAATACTCCGTTGATATGTTTTCGTAGCGCTACCGCGTCGTTGCTTACACGCGACTTAAGGATACGTTAATTATCGTTGTATATAATTGTTATGATATTTTTTATAGTTGTATTTACTCATGACGATGGAAAAAAAATATAATCGGATAAAAGTATTTTATGGCATTCGTAATTTTCCTTTAACCTCCTCCATATGATCCCTCATTTAAAGATTTATTTTGTATTTTTGTATCTTTCACGCGACAACGATTTAATTTATTCGAATTTCTGGGAAATTAAACGTGAAAATTTAAAAACTGAAGAAAATGGCGACCTACTGAACTACGTGCCGAGTTACAGCAATGTATTCTTGATAGCCTACGTTCAGGCGCTATACGTTCGTGGAAACAGGTAAAAGTTCAGTTACGTAATTGAACGGCCGTTTTTATACTAAAAGCTCAATAACGTTATAAGGCAGTTAATTACGTTTCGAGATACAGGGCGCGTGACTGGAAACATCGCATAAGAGGTTATTTTCAGGAACAATTTCCCGACGATCGGCCAGGAAAAATGAATAGCACGTTCTCTGCTTCTCATTACGAACTCGCGGCTCGATTCCATTTAAAAACGAAAAACGAAAAGTACGGTCAGATCGCTTTGAAAACAGCGGTCGTGTATGAAACAGGTTCGATAGGATCGATTCGTCGATGCGAATAAAAAAATGAAGCACCAACTGTTCGACAGAAGACTCGAAAGCTTAAAACAAACACGAGGAATCCCGAGTTACATTCGAGATTCGATAACCAACCTGTTGCTAATTAATTTCTTTATAAAACCGCATCAGCGACGAGGTTTTATTGAAAGATTTATTGAAAGAATGCCATGATTTGGAAATAAATCCAAACAGCAATCTGTATAACGCTTTTTTAGAACAATCTTGGAGTAGGCACAATTTCCAATTGATAAAGAAATAGGTCCTAAACTCTATAATGCTTATTTAGAAAAATCTTGGAGTATCCAGAATTCTCAACTGATAAACAAATAAATCCTAACCTCAAACTCTATAACGCTTATACAGAAAAATCTTGGAATACCCACAATTTCCAACTAATAAACAAATAGATCCTAACCTCAAACTTTATAACGCTTATTTAGAAAAATCTTGGAATACCAACAATTCCCAACTAATAAACAAATAGGTCGAAACCTCAAACTCTATAACGCTTATTTAGAGAAATCTTGGAATACGTACAATTCTGAACTAATAAACAAATAGGTCCTAACCTCAAAGTCTATAACGCATATTTAGAAAAACTTGGAGTATCCACGGTTCTCATCTGATAAACAAATAGGTCCTAATCTCAAACTTTATAACGCATATTTAGAAAAATCTTGGAGTATTCACAGTTCCCAATTGATAAACAAATAAATCCTAACCTGAAACTCTATAACGCATATTTAGAAAAATCTTGGAGTATCCACAGTTCCCAACTAATAAACAAATAGGTCCTAACCCCAAAGTCTATAACACTTATATAAAATAATTTTGAAGTATCTACAATTCCCAACTAATAAACAAATAGGTACCAACCTCAAACTCTATAACGCTTATTTAGAAAAATCTTGGAATACCAACAATTCCCAACTAATAAACAAATAGGTCGAAATCTCAAACTCTATAACGTTTATTTAGAGAAATCTTGGAATACCCACAATTCTGAACTAATAAACAAATAGGTCCTAACCTCAAAGTCTATAACTATTATTCAAAACAATTTTAGAATATCCATAATTCCCAACTGATAAACTAATAGGTCATAACTTCAAACTCTCGTATGAGAGGACTGAGTTTTGGGGAATCTTTGAATTTCAATTGATAAACAAGTAGATCCTAACCTCAAACACTCTCACAAGAGGAGGGTCTTCAAACTCTAATTCATAAATAGCTGACGTTTATTATTCAATTAACATAAAATTACGGTTTACGTGAATAAACAAATGGAGGACATGGATCACGATCTCTACGGGAGTTACTCCCATGGGTGCTATAGTCGGTTACAGCGAGGCCATAGAATTAGACGAGGACCCAGGGAAGAAATAAATGTGTTTCTCCGGAAGAAGCTGGGAGAAAGCTGCATCAGGGTGAAACTAGGCAAAGTAATATTCCTGTATGATTTACATGCTAAGCGTCGACTCGCCTGTAAATAATTCAATTTTCAATCTGTACCTTAATACTTGCCCTCTCCCCCTTTCCCCGACGGTCGCGTTTCTTATTTCTCTCGATTCGTTCGTTGACACGGACGTCTGTAAACGAGATAAATACAGTCTAAAACGAAAATAATGTCAGTCGAGTGGGAAGTAAATATTTGATTTTTTGAGACACGTTGCTTCGTAAAAATGTTACGACTGTCAGTCTCTATCTATAAATCGAAGAATTTTACGAAAGATCTTTGAGAACATAACGATTCATATCTTTCTGAAAATTTTTGGAGATTCTTCAAAGACTTTGAAGAAATAAAAGATATTTCAGTAATTTACTATATTCAAATTTCTATTAAAGTAAAATTAAATAAAATATACCTATATCTGCATATTCGTTATTAATATATTATAAATGCAATATATAATATATATTACATATTGCAATTAAATATTTCTCTGTTTATGTATTTATTACATATTGTATTCCTTCTTCTATCCATTTCTGGATCAATATCGAATAATTAAATTATTGGTCGTATTTACGAGGGCTTCAAATTGATATATGTAGGTTATTTGATTTTTATGAAGAACAACGATCAATGCAAATCTAGATCAGTATGTTGATTTATGACAATGTACGGAGCGCTTCGGAAATGAATTATGATGCTTATAAAGGGTGATAAAAGTGAACTGAGTTTTGTTTGCGAGATATAAGAGAACATTTACGTCTCCTGTTAATATCTTCGTTTGCTTTACGTTATCAGTCTTGATTGTGTCATCTTGACGCACGTACGATCCTGTAATTCCGTTACCTACTATGTCAATTTGCCATTCCAATACGGAAACGATAGACAGGTATGCCGTATACAAACACTTGCCTTCACCATGCCTAATTTCCACCATACTTCAATCCGACAATTCACACGTTGACACGCAAATTGTCCAATAATTTTGCACCTATCCTTACTAATAAAATCCCTAATCAAATCCGATTAAAGCACATACATTATCCACGAATTGCCAAAGAAAAAAGAACGGAAATTTCAGTTTTTAAAAATTCGCACAACAATTTGGAAATTCGTATCACCGCGATTGATTCCATGGTTTTCGAGGTAGGAGCGTGAGCGAAATCGATGATGAATCTTGATCTAATTGGCCGTGCGTTGGTACAAAAGGCGAATGGAAAAACGGGGACAAAGGGAAATGCGAATGGAACGCGTTCGAACGTCCGTAATCGGAAAGGCTTACGAGCGCGTGTAATTGCCCATTGTGGAGGCGATCTAGCATTTTCCAGGGAAAATATTCGAGAATGGGCCCGCTTAGAAAGCGTAACGAACCCGCTCGATATCGATATGCCGCACGCGGAGCCAATTATACGGAAAATCTCGCGACTCTCCTGTTCCAATTCTTCGATAGCGATGTGCCTTTCATAGTCGAGTGAAAAATATACTTTCTAATCTTTGTTCGCCTTAATTTTTGATTCGGTACACTTTCTGTACAACGGAATGCACGATTGAGCAAGTGGTCTCATTGCTGATATCTACAATAAACAAAATTCCTGATAAATAAACGAAGTTATTACGAATAATAGTGTCTCAATTTTAATAATGGTAAAGGAAGAAATTTTGCGATATAAATACTTGACCCGTATTTCATACATAAATTCAGTTAAACTTCGTATTTGTAAATGCGAGTATGCATGAAGTCCACTTAAGCTTGATTCAGAGTTACAGCCATCACTGTATTCGTAGACTTCTTGCTTAAAATGCAGACAACATGGTTGGCACTGGTCAATTACTTGCAGTTGACTTAAATTGAAAAATATTCATGCAACATGGTTAGTGATGATTTAATCAGATGTATGCAAATACACGTATATTGGTATGAAAGATGATCTTTCGGAGCACTTGGTGTATAGATAACCACAAGCAAGGTGAACGAACTCCAACGAGGCTGTAACTCTTGATCAAGGTTAAGCATGTGATCTGTTTGCATTAATCGCTCCATACGCAAAATTAGATAAGGGTTATTATCACGAACAATGCTTCTTTCTATGATTTTTTAAAGATTAAACTTACTCCAAGGTCATTAGTTTCGTTCCGTTCAAACGCACAAGTATTTGTTGCTATAATAATGGAAATCATAAAAAGCATTCTAAATGTATAACCACAGCACTAGTTTTCCATTTTCCACCGTGTAATAGTTAATAACTGGAATACTTTTAACGCGTAACATATCAAGCTGATAAAAAATTTAACGTATAAATTCAAATAGAAAATTCGTTAACGTAAAAATTTAAATGCTCTTAGCGAACAAACTCATATATTTTACTGTTTAATGTCCAAAGGGAAGTTATAAAAGTTTTTTAATTACATTTTATTCCGCACAGCCATTTTACATATATTAAAATTCGTGCATTCCCAAAATCGTTACGATATTTTCCAGATATTACACCGCTGTCACGTGACATGGCATAAAAATACGTTCCATTAATTACACAATTTAAAAAGTTCTTAATTTATTGATACGAAATCAACGAGATTTTATATAACATGCAAGTAGTAACAAAAAATCACAGACCTTATAAATCTCGCCAATCGATGACATTCCAATAACTGTTAAATCATCCTCGTAATCCAAACAAAATCGATTTGATGCATGGCCGCCGAGTTCAATGGTTACATAGATGACGTGTTTTGGCGCGTAAATGGATCCTAGTATGGTGGACGAGGTACACGATTATTGTCAGTTGCGTATACGAATCGGGTATTTCAATTTAATAAATGCATTTTCAGAAATCAAATCCGAAACGGAGCACTTGAGATCGCGTATTAGTCACAGAAAATGTCACGCTACATGCGAAACTATTCGTTCGATAATCGAAAGACGCGACGCGAGTGGCCTGAGATCGAATCTCGGCAAGCCTATAGTATGTTTAGAGAGAGATACAAGCGAGGAACTATAGGTGGAGTGAA